TGAAATCTCATAAAGAATGCAGACTCAGGCCCTTAAACTCTAAGCTCTCTGGGACAGGACCATATCTTCTTTTGTACCACACGGTACACACTATGTGCCATGGATACATACCTAATGACGTGGTGATACTGGGTGCAGTATAAAATTTTAAATAAGAAAAGGGACTTAAAATGTAGAAGTATTCCTCCCTTCTTGTAGATAAAACTACAATTGGAAAATCTACCTGGGAGAAATGGATTATTCTTGATTTGTTTTAAAAGGGGGGAAGCTCAGTGTTGCTCTGCTGCTGTGGTTCATTCAAGACTAATTCCTATAACAATCTCAAACTCTTTAAAACATTTTAATTCTTTTGATACCTTAAATCTTACCATTTGTTTGTTTTGTAGTTGTTTTTTTTCTTTAAATCAGCCCTCTCACCCACAGGGAATGCACCTGTAAACGAACATCATACAATAGAATGCACTTGTGCATGAAAAGCCTGAGTCACGTTAATGTGCTGACTTGTTGAAGAACCAGACTTAAATATAAATATCTATGCAATGTTTTACATAATCCTTCATGGTCAGCAACCAGTATCTTACCCGTACCTCATGCATAGCTGTGGCTTCCAAATTCAGATTTTTTTTTTTCTTTTGCCAAAGGACATACCAGCATGTCAAGTAGCTTCCCTTGCTGTGCTAATTGCTAATTTACAGCAGCCTAAACTGTTTAACAATCCATTTTTATTTTTATTCATATTTTTAATTGAAGTGGTCTCTCTCTCTCTCTCTCTCTCTCCTTAGTTTTGGCAGCTCTATAATGCAATCACACTTTTTGAACTGTCTAGGCATACGGAATGCAAAGAATGGCAGGTAGGTAACTCTATTTACAATAAACAAGAACTCTGATGTTATCATTGATCCAAATGCCTTAGTCTGAAAATTGACATAGAATTTGTCAGAATAACTTCCTTTGTATCAGTTGAATACAATACCAAACAGAAGGTAGCTATAAAGTATATGGCAGTATCCACTTTATTACTATATCTTTAAGGATGCTGATACTTTTCTACTTAGTGTTCCTCATTGCCAACGACATGTACACGTTTTCTCGAATTCAGTTGCTTGTATTGATCTTGATATAGAATGATGTGAATCGCTTGGTAAGATGGGCTCAAGCAAACAATATGCATTCTGATATGGCTAAATAGAAATTTATACATCTAGGAACAAAGAATGTAGGCAGGCCATACTTACATGAGGGGGACTCTATCCTGGGAAGTAGTGACTCTGAAAGATGTGGGGATCATGGTGGATAATCGGCTGAACATGAACTCCCAGTGTGACTCTGTGGCCAAAAAAAGCTAATGCAATCCTGGGAGTATAAACAGGGCAATCTCAAATAGGTATAGAGAGGATATTTTACCTCTGTATTTGGCCCTGGTGTGACCACTGCTGGAAGGCTGTGTCCAGTTCTGGTGCCCACAATTCAAGAAGGATGTTGATAAATTGGAGCGGGTTCAGAGAAGAGCCATGAGAACAATTAAAGGATTAGAAAACATGCCTTGTAGTGATAGACTCAAAGAGCTCAATATATGTAGTTTAACAAAGAGAAGGTTGAGGGGGCGTGACTTGATTATAAGTACTTACATGAGGGACAAATATTTGATAATGGGCTTTCAGTCTAGCAGAGAAAAGTCTAACATGATCCACTGTCTGGAAGTTGAAAATAGAGAAATTGGAAATAAGCTGTAAATTCTTAGTGACGGTAATTAACCACTGGAACAATTTGCCAAGAGTCATGGTGGATTTTCCATCACTAACCCTCTTTAAATCAAGATGGATATTTCTCTATAAGATATACTCTTCTTCAAAAGGAATATTTGGGGAGTTCTTTGGCCTGTGTTCTACAGGGAGGTCAGACCTTCTGATACCTTCTGGCCTTTGAATCTGTGAATCCAAATGAAATCTAGAGGAGTCATTGTGCACCCAGTAGGGCAGGGAATCTCATGTGGTGGGCTGTTGGGTTTTTTTTATTTTTTTTTATTAAAATTCAGCAGGCCCCATGCCCTCGCTCCATCACACAATCTAGCATTCAGATTTTCCTAGTAAAAAAGGAGGGACGCACCCTCCAGTGTTAGCTTGATATCTTCTTATTCATGTAGTTCCTCTCATATAAATGGGCGTTCCTACATATGCTGAGGCTTGGGACTAAATATAGCCCTGGCATAAGCATGAACAACCTCACTTTCTTCAGGGTAGTTGAGCTGGACCATGACATCTCCCAGACAGTGAAGTAGTTTAAAAATAATCTGTGTACAAATGTAATAAACTTTATGTTAAAGGCTGTAAATTCCCATTTAAATGATCATGATAAAAGTATACACCTGTTAACTGAATAATCCATGTGAGTTCTGTATATTGGACTAGGATCTTCTCCCTCTATATGTGCCCATTGTCCCTACTACTGCTAACAGAATCGTAGGTCTGGTGGTGGGGCAGAGACCAGGACAGTCCTTCCCAAATTCTGTGTACAATCTGAGGCATGAGATTTGGTTACCTCCTTATCTTAAGGACAAATGTTGGTTATAAAATAGGACAATAGAAGTCGGAGCTTGAAAACACCTAATATATCAGACTTTGTCCTATTGCATGGAAAGTCTATAAACCCCTTCCATAGAACCCATGTCGAAGGGAAGACCTGTTATTTTGTATACAACTTTCATATATAGTGATTCACTTTTTAAGGCAAGTATCAAGTTTGCCTGATATTGGCGGGGGAAGGGGTTGTGCATGTGTTACTTATGGCCAGGACCTCCTTATCATTTTAAAAAACCCTTTCAAATCTCACTGCTGTCATAATTGGAAGATTTTTACCAAATGGATCATCACTTTTGTGTGTTGTTTTTTTTCCCCCCCACCCCCAGGTTTTTGTACTGGCTCTCACATTTCTGCTGCTCTTCCTTGGAAACTTTCTTACTACTTTAAAAGTGGTGCACACTAAGCTTCAGAAAAACAAAGACGAAATGAAGAAACTGTGAAACTGGGTTGCAATGGTGGACACTAAAATGTGGGATCTCTCTTCTTTCCACTCTTAGCAAATAATTTATCAGACTGAACCTGGTAAACCACAGTTACATTGCAAATAAATCTTGGAAGAAATCCTGTTCGTGTTATGCTAAGAATGTGAACTCTCCCAGCACAGACTGCTGTACAGTATTATGCAAGCACTGCTCTCCAGCCTGCAGCCCTATTATTTAAGTATATTTAATACAAAACACATTTGGTGTTTTTCCTTTGTATATACAGCAGTAATGTGGCATGCACCTGCCAGAACAAACGCCAGTCTAGGGAGAAAGTGATATTTACTGTAATTCTGTTCCTTCATGTCTTGTTTTGTTTTTGGGTTGGGTTTTTTTTGATCCAGCATTATTTTATTTCTGAAATTCCAGGTACTACATTAGTAAAACTTTAAAAATGTTTTAGGTCAACCAGTAATGCAGACCTAATGTTTATTTCTAAAACTGTTAATTAAAACACTACATTTTCAGTGGCCTATGCTAACCTGTGTGTACTGTGAAACTTGCCCATATTTGTACCATGCTGCTATGCACCCTTTTTAAAAACTATTTAAAGAACAAACTTTTTTAAGTTAATGGTTTAAATGTTATGTTTTGTTATTGGCTTTGTTTGCAGGAAGCCTGGTGATATTCAGCTAGAGATCAGGTAATCTGGTCAGCCCTGAAAAACGCACAAAATAAATAGTACAACACAGAGCTGTTTCAAGACCTTCTTTTAAATGTTGCCTTTACCATTGTTTTCCAAAACCATGTTCTTCTGAACATGGCTCTGACTGAAGGCTGTAATTGCAGCACTTGGGCCTCTAATTTCATTTGTGAAAAGTGTTCACCCACAGGTGATATGGTGCTTTGTCTTATTATTTTCCTGTGTGCAATTCATTCGAGAGCATAGCGACTGTGTGTTTGGTTTCACCTACATAGTTGTTTATGGAGCACTTAGTGCACTGGATGAGGTAAATAGAATTAGTACCACCGTATTTGTCAATCTCAGGCATTGCTTTTTAGAGTACGGTGTACTGAATTTTTGCCTATATGCCATAGCTTGCTTTGCAGTAAAAAATTTTTTATCCCTCTTTGTTAAGAAAACACACATCCACATCAGGGCTGTGTAGCTCCTGAATCAGAGCTTTTTCTATAGAGCAATGGAGGTTTTCCCTCCTTCCCTTCATGTTCAGTCTGAGCATACTGCCTCTAGAGATGAGTAGAATGTCCAAAGCTTGTTTTGGATTTACAAATTATTCCATTTTAAGCTTGGAGGTAAAGGCCTCCATGAATCTTAATGGTCCTTGGATTTTTTGCAGGCTTGTTTTGGGGTCAATTCCAAGTTAACACAACCTCTGCATCCAATTAGCATACAACACAAAGGAAATAGAAAAATCCACCTTGGAGTGATCTATCAGCTGAATTCACAACCAAATGAAGAGAAGACTGGAAATGTACTGTTTCTAACCTGATTTTTGGAATTTTTCAGGATGTTAGCAGGAATCCTGGCAAAAACCGCAAATGTAAGCCTCCCGGACAGAGAAATAACTGACATGCTATGAACACAACCTACTCCCCCCTAGGCTGGACTGCATATTACAGCCCAAACCATGGCATATTTCAGAAAAAACACCTCTGCTGCAAAATATCATTTTAAAACATGCTATTTCTGTAGTGTCACATTATTGTGAAAAAATCTTCAGCTGTAGTAACCTCACGTACAGAGAAATTTCTCACAAAACTTTAAAGCCTTGGAGTGCAGGTACTAATTTGAATGGGATGGTTCCTCTCACTTAAATGGGAAGCAACTAAGACACCTGCATGCATTGTTAACTAGATGTCCTTGAAGGTAAAATAGTCATTGTAGGGCAGCAGGGATGATTTCACCATGTAATTCTTAACACTCATGTAAGTAGCACAGCTCAATTTGCCACACATCATACAAGCACACGGTGTTGAATAAATTGCACTTTTGTTTATTTTAAAGTTTTGCTTGTATTGCACATTCGATCCTCTCTCTAGGTATTAAAATAGTGGCAGCTGCTGTTACCTGCGAGAGGTAAAGCATTTAGCAAGATGCATCATATCTGCACTGAGTGGCTTTCTGAGTAGACTATAATGAAGGATGTAAAACACTTTCTATTATCATAAATCCAATCTGGAGAGACCACACGATAGATTTCCAAACAGCTGCTTTACGAAGTGGACATTCTAATAAAGGTGCAGCCAAATAGTACATAGTTTGGAGCAGTTGCTTGAGGCTACTCTGAGAAGAATGGTTAATAGAGCCCTTGCTTTGTAATTATAATTAGAACTCATCAATATAGAACTTTGATTTTTATCCTCTCAATCTGACCATCTGCTCTAATTTAACTTCACTCTTCCTTTGAGAGAAGTAGCCATTTCTATCCTTTCCATGTCAATTCAGCAGTGAATAAGACCAGTAAATCAGCCAGAACTACCAGCACCTATGTGCTGGAATAAAACTATGAGCAATAAAGACTGCCAGTCAAACTGTCAGTGTATAAATAAGAGTGGATTTGGAACCTGGCTGACAGTCATTTACGGTCAGGAACAAAATCCAGATAAACGTAGCCATCTACCACAAACTAAGATTGATAAAGCGCTTTGAAATCTTCCTATGAGGTGCAACAAAAAGCACAATATTACAAAATCAAATTTTAAAAATAAAATCAAAGTAGGAATAAAAATGGACTGAAAAAAGAAATTATAAAAATAAACTATTGGTAATAAATGTATCAAGATTTTAACAAGCTCTTCTATAGTCCCAGTGGTCTGGATCATCATAATATCAAACACCGTTTCCTCTTTTTTCGGCGCTTAGCTTTTTTCATGGCATTCAATGCAATATTTGTTGCTTCTTTAAAAACATTCTCTATGTTTTCTCGACACTTGGCTGAGCACTCCAAATAAGCTTGTGCCTTCATCTGCTGACAAGTTGCTTCACCCTAGAAGAGAGGAAGGTAACAAACGTAAGTGTTCTTGGAATTACAGAGGGAAGAAGTGAATAATTCTGAAGATATCTTTATACAATGGGGTCAGGCAAAAGAAGACAGATGCTTTTGTTTGTAGAGTTAAAGAATAAGTAGTAGTAGTAGTCCTAAGCACTACTGTAAAACACATATTTAATAATAAATTAATAGGCTCCATTTATAGAACTTTATTGATTTTTTTTAAAAGATTAATCTAAAAGCCAGTTTGGAAGTGCAATGCAGTGGAGATTTCTTGGTTGCCTACCTTGTTGTGTGTTAAAGCCCAACTTTTTTAAAGTTTAGGCTCTAAACAGAACCTCCAAAACCCAAACTTGAATGCTTAAATTAGCAATAAGGTGTGTATCCAGTCTGTCAGGACCCATATTTGAAAATTGGGCCTACAGTACAATCAAATTGACCCAAGCGCAATTTTACATAAAATTTCTCCACTTTCAGATGTCAGCAGGCTCCAGAGGTGGAGGGATCAGTGTTTGAATCCCAAACTCAGTTCTTAGCATTAGAAATATCTTGTGTTGCATGAGTGGCCCCTTCTGCTTGAGCCAGGAACAGAGTGGATGAGTTTCAGAAGACGACTCAACCAGAAGGATGGGTCAGTTTTAGGTAGGGTACTCAATGAGGAGGAAATGGAGCATAAGAGACAAGAAATCCTGAAGCACACTGCCCCCAAAAGAAGCTTCTTACTAACAGATAGCCATAAGAATTCTGTATATTATTTACGTTTCTACAATACAAACTGCTGGTATATGCCTGTTATCCATTTGGTGATTGACCTCTATCTGGAAATGTATACTGTATCTATATGTCAGAGGAGTCTGAAGAATCCACTCAAAGCTGGGACTGAAGCCAGGGTATTTAGGGACCAAAGCAGCAGTTCCATATCTTGAGCTGAAGGAAGATCTCCTCCATAGGAAAGTTTTAGTTTGCCACATTGTTGTAAAGGGTCTGAAAAGTTTGTGAACTAGGGACTTGTCTTCACTACCAGGATAAGTTGACCTAAGTTACACTACTCCAGCTACGTGAATAATCTAGCTGGAGTCGATATAGCTTAGGTCGATTTATCCCGGTGTCTTCGCTGCGCTGCATTGACGGGAGACGCTCTCCCATCGACTTATTTTAATCTTCTTGGGAAGCTGGAGTACCAGGTCAACCGGAGAGCGCTCTGTATCCTGCTAAAATCGACCCCTGCTGCATCGATTGCAGGAGCGTTGATCTCCCTGGAGTGCAGACCCGCACTCAGTCCTTTTAAGCCATGCTGATAGATTTTCTTAGAAAGGAGCTTTCATAAATGTCTACACTTTCTTGTGGGAATAACCGTATCAAGGCTCCTGGCAGCACCTGAGCTGAAGTAAATAATAAAATATTATATGCCTGACATTGGTGAAGAGAGTCGCTAAGTGCAATGGAGGCAGTATGCAGAATTTCACAAGATGATAAACATTTTCGTTTCTGACTGACTGGAAAGAACACCGTAATTTCTGACACCGATGCAGCAATAGTTCCTTTTTTTAATATTGCAAAATTTTGGTACACCTCAAGCTGTTGCCCAAACTTGTATACAGAATACTCAAATTTTGCTGCTGTCTTCGTGACCTGTAGCAGGAGGGATGACAGTCGTTATAGGAAAGAACAGGGAAGCAGCAGACCTAGGTTCTAGTTTCATTTCTGTAGATGCTTCCTGTGTGACAAGAAATCAGTCACTCCACCACTGACTAATCATCCCCATCTGTAAAGTGGGGATAGAGATACTTGCCTACATAACATGGGTGTTGTGAGGCTTGGTTAATGTTTGTAAAGTGGTGCTTGAATGGTAAATTTTGCATCAATAAGCAACAGTAACCTTTGAGGTGAGATGCTCCTTTCTGTGTCAAGATTTTCATGGCAGTGCTTACTATTCATGAGTAATAATACCATATTATAGGAAATGTACCTATTGCTCGTGCAAAGGACAGAACTCTTAAATGCAATCCTCTTTACCTGGTTATATGTGATTGGTTCCTGCTCAGAAGACATGAGCTTACGTAAATGTTCTTTGTCCTTTCGAAGGTCTGTTTTGCAGCCGATAAGTATTAGAGGGACTCCCCGGCAGAAGTGACTTACTTCAGGATACCACTGATGGTGGAAAATGAAACATTTAGGTAAGCTTTTAAAAAAAAAATCAAAATGACGATGCCTAGGAGCAAAATCAGCATTCAATTTACAACAAAACTGTAGAAAGTATCCAGTGCTAGGAACAGGGTAGGATATTATTTAAGTGAGTATTTATAGATATACCGCAACCTGACCTGTAAATATGTGGGGCCCCTCCTTTCCTTAAAGTACTCAGAGGTAAATTATGCTCTGCTCATGGAGGGTTAACTCTGCATGGGACTTCCTATATCTCAGCGGTTCTCAAACCGTGGGCCGCTTGCAGCCCAATCAGCACACAGCTGCAGCCCATGTGACATCCTCAAGGCCATACAGGTAGTATTGGATGCAGCCCACAAAACACACTGGTAAATAGGTTGATTGAAAACCATTGCTATATCTCCTACATTGTGTTTTAAGACATGAGCGAAGATTGAGATAGAGAGCAGTTTGGAAAAGCTGGCAGTTTCTTTAGGACATGAACTTGCATTCCTTGCACACCCAAAATTTCTATCCTGGGCAACGAAATGTTGCTATTGACTTCAAGAAAGCAGGATTAGCCCCATAACGAGCATGCTTTCAATAAAATAGCCAATTGAAGTTAAATTTTTTTTTTTTTTGGGTCTGAGCAGCTGCCGCATCTAGACAGTATCAGGTATTAGGTAGCCGTGTTAGTCTGAATCTGTAAAA